GACCCCCGCGGCACGATGGCTGAGGGTAGCCAGTGCGACTCTGTCAGTGGCGACTGCTTCTGCAAGCGGCTGGTGACCGGGCACAACTGCAACCAGTGCCTGGTGAGTGGGGCTGTGCTGTGAGCTGTGCATGGTGCTCAGGGCCGTGCGTGGAGCTCAGGGCTGTACATCGTGCTTGGGGCCATGGCACTGCAGCGTGGGGGTCAGGGTGACACCCTTGCCCTCTGCAGCCTGAGCACTGGGGGCTGAGCCACGACCTCCCGGGCTGCCGGCCCTGTGACTGCGACGTGGGAGGTGCCCACGACAACCTGTGAGTCTTTGTGGGGATGCAGGGGGCGAGAGGCATCCCTGCAGGCATCAGGGCTGATGGTATTGCTGGGGTACCAGGTGCACTGTGGAAACAGGACAGTGCCGGTGCCGAAGCCATGTAGTGGGACGGCAGTGCAGCCAGGTGGAACCCGGCTTCTACCGCATCAACCCGGACCATTACACCTACGAGGCTGAGGATGCTCGGCTGCATCAGGTGAGGGATGAAGGTGTCCCTGGAGGGGGAACGCCAGGCAGCGCAGGGCACCAGGTGGCTCTTTGAGGCATTCCCAAGCTGGCAGAGCGGTACCTGCCAGCCAAGGTAATTTTTAGGGTCCCATCTCACACCCCCCACTTCATACCAGGGCTCCGTGGTGCAGCGTGAGCCCCCCATGGACCACCCAGCTTCATGGACGGGGATGGGCTTTGCCCGCATGCTGGAGGGCAGCTGGGTGGAGTTTCACGTGAGCGATGTGCCTTTTTCCACTGAGTATGATGTGATCATCCGCTACGAGCCCCAGGTGAGCGCCAGATGGTGAAGCTGGCTGTGGGCTGTATCAGCAAATTGGGAGGTGGCAGTGGGGAGCACCGAATGGCGAGGCTTTTTGACACAGCCCTTTCTCTGCCCACAGCACCCAGAGCCCTGGCAGGAGGTGAGGGTGAGGGTGCTGCGCCCCAGCCCCGTCTCTGCCAGCAGCCCTTGTGGAAACACCATCCCGGCTGACGACCAGCTCTCCACCAGCCTCCCATCCGGTGCCAGGTGAGTGCCTCGCCTCAACTGGGCTGTGCCAGGCGTCGTGGG